TATGTTCTCACCAACCATGTGGAGAGAGACCACTGGGTGAAAACCTTACTGTACACAGCTGCTATATGTCTTAAAACTTGCTTTTAAGTATATTGATACATTCCCAAGTTTACCTAATTCAGGCTAACAAGTATTTTCTTCAGTACCAAGCTATGTCCCATATACTGTGCTGGGGGCGAGGGTGGGAGGTAGTGAGAGAGCCTTGCTTCTTATCTAATCTCAGAGAAGGCAACATATTCCTTGTGTAAAGACTCTCATACATGCAAGACCTCCCCTACACACACACACACACACACACACACACACACACACACACACACACACAATATTTGAAAAATATTAAGAAAACAGCAACATTTTTACAAATCCAATAGTTGTGACACTACTTGATGACTCTTAGAGGCCAGGCATTATGAGGCAACGCTTACATTTCTTGATCCACTGAGGTGGAATTGATGGTGCTGATATTTCTGTTCAGGCTGGTGCTGTATCTCAACTACTTTGTATTGGAAAATGTGACCCAAGAACACAGACAAGGGTTGACATCCTTCTCCACTCCCTTGACTGCTGCCAAGACATTTTTATACCTGAACCAAGATATGCAACATCTCATTTCCATTATGTATTTCACCTAGTTTTCCTATTCAAAAACCATCCTGCTGCCCTAGCTACATTCTTGAAGTAAAAAGAAGGAACTAATCTTGACCAGTGGGGTCTCTGAGTAGCAATAGCAGCAGCAGCAGCAGCCAGGTGCTTGTTATAAATGCCATAATATGCCAGTTCCATAATATTCTAAACCTGCAAAATTAGAAACTGTAGTTGGAAACCAGAAATCTGTGTTTCGTTTTGATGAGAGCCCAAGCTGGCCCCCCAAATCACCACAATTTTTCTGTCTGCATTTTGTTTTAGAAGTTTTCCCCCTGACTCTGGTGCACGCTACTCTTCAGGCAAACACCCAAGAAACTGGCCACAGTCCTTTCATCCTTGCCTCTTATAAAAATCCACAGGTGACTTTCAGGGTAATCTATTTTACCACCAGACTGGTGCTGATGGCCAACGGCTGCCCTTCATTTGCCCCCTCCCTAGGCCTCTTTTTTTCCCTCTTGTACTCTTACCAGTATTTTTAACTTCTGAGGAAAGACAGGTGATACTGAACACTTAAATCCCAATGAATCCATTATCAACAGTTACTCAGTCACACTTCCAAGGGTGAGCATTAAAATACAGACCATGCATATTACTTCCCAGATGTTTATAAGTACATTATAAAGTTATAATTGAACTTCATATGTGGCTGGAGAAATGGCTCCATGATTAAGGATGCTGGCTGCTCTGCTGAGGACCAGAGTACACTTCCCAACACCCAGGTCAGGTAGCTTACGTCGTAACTGTAACTCCAGCTCAGAGATCCAACTGGCCTCCAGGGATACCCACACGTAGGTGGCATTCACTCGAACAGACACAGCCACATAAATAAAAATAAATAAGCATTTTTTAACTTGATTCACAAAATGTTTGTTGTAAAATTGGTGCTGCAACTTCAGAATTTCAGTGTGCTAAAACAACAACCAACTTGTCAACTGCTTGTTTTTGCAAGCTAAACATTATTAATTTATTTATAAAAGTATTAAAAATGTTTAAATTTGAGTTTTATTGCTAATTTTACAAAGTTTTCTATATTTCAAATGTAACTTACTACCACTACACTTAATTTAATATTTTCTCTATAACCAAGTTAAATTTATTTAAAATATACTGAATATTTTATGTTGTTATATCTTGACAAAATTATGATATATTACAATGTACTAATATTTCTGTGGCTATAACTAAAGTTCTATTGTTTTGTCAAAATAAAATTGAAAGAACAACTGTATCAGGTCTTTGGGTTTTTTATGGAAATAAGTTTATTTGGGTCTATAAAAATAATAGTCACTGTAAAAACAATAGGCAACTTTGAAGTTAAAAAGAATATCAAAGCTTCTACTGTTTAATATTCATTCTCAAAATAACCATCAAATTAAGACAGTAAATGATAACCACAGTATTTTGAATCTCGATGCCTAAAAAAATAATCTTGCCATAACTGAAAAACAGTAACTGAAGAAAGTTTGTCTGAATTGACAAAAGGAAATATTTGTGAATATGAAACCCTATTAAGATTTGAGTACTAACAGGAAACATAAGTAGTCATGACTAGAAGTTATCCATCAGGATGAAACTAAATGGATGAGATTATTTGGACGTCTATACTATGAGGCTCTAGAAAAAGCCAGTGGCAGATTAAGTCATAAACAGAAAGGCCCACAACAATGAGAGAAGACAAGGAAGACCAGCATGAATCTATAACAGTAAAGAATCTTTCCACGGGAATAGGAGAAAATGCCTTCCATGCCTCCCCATCCCCACCCCCAAAGCCACAGTTTTTTGAAGACTGTACTACACTGTTAGGTACTCTGACAGTCTGTGAAACACTGTCTTGTTTTTTTTTTTTCCTGTCTTGTTTTAATTGACTCAGATGATGCTAGAAGGTAAATGATAAATCAGGGTTACAGGAGAAGACTTGGGTTTGATAAGTAGATTGTGGATATTTATTTATTTATTTATTTATTTATTTATTTATTTATTTATTTATGTTTCTTGAGACAGGGTTTCTCTGTGCAGTTTTGATGCCTGTCCTGGATCTCACTCTGTAAAACAGGCTGGCCTTGAACTCACAGAAATCTGCCTGGCTGTGCCTCCCAAGTGCTGGGATTAAAGGCATGTGCCACTGCTGCCCCGCGGATCTTTATTTATTTTTTTTAAATAAAGTTATTTCAAAAGACTTTTTTCTTTGAAAAGAAGGATCTAGGGACAAAAAAAAAAAATCAATCGGCAACATTTGAGAAGCGTAAGGCCTAATGGAAACAGTAGGACCCTCACTTTTAAAGGTTTTAATTGCATATGACCTACCCAGCTTAATCCCTACTTTCCCTAAAGGCACTGACTTGGAATGACAGAATAATATTACTTAATCTATACATAAAAAAGGGTGATTTGTCACTGTAAAGTAGGACACAGAACCCACAATAGGCCACTTTGGAATAAAGATTATTTTGAGAGAAAGGCATTAAAAATTGTAAAATAAAACTTGCATATAAAAGGTAACTTACTTATACCAGGAGGCTATAGTTCTTATAGCCACAGTCTGAAGACAGGGCGAGGAAAACACACAAACCAAAAACATCCTAGTTAGACCAACTCTCATCTTCCTAATCCCTTATCCAAATCCCTGGCTCAAATCCATCTGTCATCTCACATTTTTACAAATTGCTACAACGGCTGACTTCTGATATAAATTTTGATCCCAGCTGGGCAATAGTGGTGCACACCTTTAATCCCAGCACTGGAGAGGCAGAGGCAGGCAGATCTCTGTGAGTTTGAGGCCAGCCTGGGCTACAGAGTGAGTTCCAGGACAGATGCAAAGCTACACAGAGAAACCCTGTCTCCAAAAACAAACAAACAAACAAACAAACAATAATAATAACATAAATGAATGAATGAATGAATTTTGGATCCCAAGTGTTTCTTTGGGTCTTCATTTTTCTACCCTCCAACATACAAGCAAAAATTACTAAATAAAAGTTGTATGCTTCTCTCCTATTCACCTACTGTTTTACGTCATTTAACTGGTGCCCCGCTGAGACTTTAAGAGAGTAAAGGGAAATTTTACTTCTCCTGCACCAATATTAGGAAGGATGCAAGAATGCAATTCAGAAAGCTTGCCAAACTATTTTGAAGGGTGACAGCATTTCTGGGGTATCATCTGAGGTTTTGCTTGTTTGGTTTTTTTTGTTGTTATTTTGAGAACAGGGTACATTTTGTAGCACTGGCAAACCTGAAACTTCCCCCATCCTCTTAACTCTGGCTCCTAAGTGTTGTGCTTATAGCAATTAGCCAAAGATTGGCTTTGGAATATCTTTAGATTCAAGACTACATCACTTGAGCAAATACTCTTCCCTTGCACAAGCGATTGAGAGATTTATTCCAGAACCATAGCTCATATCCAAATCTATGTTATACAGAAATGGCTTAGTGCTTGCAGGTAACCTACACATATCCCCACAGAGACTTGAAATTGTCTCTAAATTACACATATTTAAAACAATATGAATATGTTATACTCTATTAGTAGGGAATAACCACAAGGAAAAAAGTGTGTATGTTTGATAAAGATGATGTCATAGGTGTTTGAAATAGATGATGTCACAGGTCTCCTACCTACTACATAGCCGAGGCTGGCCCCGAACTCCTGATCCACTAGCTTCTGCCTCCCAAGTCCCCAGTACAGGGATTTCTAGAGTGCTTCACCCGGATCAACTATGCTATGAACCGATTGAAAGAGAAAAAAAATTTCAACCCTGGTTGGTTGACTCCAAGGATGAGAAACAATGGATAAGGTAGGTAGGTTGTTTATGAAAATCGAGGCACACGTCGTATTTCCTGATTTGGCTTCCAGTTTATTCGTCTGTGAGCGAGTCCAGTTCTTGCTTTCCAGCCTTGTTCTTCCAGAGTCGGGAGCCAGAAAATGGGCGATTAGACTTGAAACAGATTTCTGACAGCTGTTATCTTCAAACCCAATTTCTTCCCCTTTTTCTCGGATTCTTAAATTTGTAGGTTTTAGGGAAAATCAAACTTAGAGTGCTGAAGAATTACTCCCAATATTAGATATATATGCATACTCTCGGGCCTCGCACCATATGAATTTTTATTCAGACGGCTCTTTAAAACAGGCTACTAGTTTACCTTGCAAACGCGAGGTTCTTAAAGATCGCGATGTCTACAAATCCCCTAACTGGAATGCAGTCTAAGAACTTGAAATGTTTAACCTGGGGTAGGGGGGGGGGAGGTGGAGGGAGCGCTTTGCCCATGACAAAAATGGTTCCTTATCGACGCCTCACGAGCCTGGGCGTAACATCCGCCCTTCCCTTGTCACATGACCAGGAACCTACTTCCGCTACGGATCCAGGAAGGGGCCAGTCCTGGCCGTTCTCGCGTCTGTCCCGGCCCGCCGCGGCCGCTCCGCCGCTCCTTTGCCCGGGCGCCTTGGTGCGCTCGGCCAACGGCCTCTGCGAGCGCTCGCCCGAGCGCCCCGGAGCCGGCGGGCGGCGGCCCTCGCCAGGGACCCTCCAGCGGGCCCAGGGTGAGTGTTGTAGTGTCCCCAAGCGGGGCTCCGGGCCTAGCGCGGCGGCCGTGACACCCGCCTCCGGGGCCGGTCAGGGTCCTTCCCTGCGATGATCAGGGTCCAGCTTCTTCACCCTCTCTACTTCAGCATCTTGTTCTGTAGAACAAAAGTCGGATTTTACTGGGGGGGGGGGGGACCTGTTAGTTAGAGGTTAGGTAGCGGGAGGAAGCCTGTAAGCTTGGACCTGGGCTTTTTTCGGGCATCTCTTCCTCGGACCCATCTACCTCACAGTATGACCTTGAGCCTGTAGCGTTTGTGTGTGTGTGTATGTAAAACCCGTGGAATCAGAGAACGGCCTTTGGGAGGCCCGGAGCTGACCAAAACATCCTTACTCGCTCGCTGGTGGCTCTGCCGGCTGGCTCTTTGGGGTGCCCTCCCAGAGCTGGGCTCCAGGGCCCTTTACAGCTCCCGACCTCCGTTTGCAAAAACAAGCCCTTGTTATAAATGCAAAACACAACCATGGACCAGAGGCTTGGCTTGGGAGCAGGGCGCGTTCTCTGGGAAGAGCAGCGCGCTCCCTGAATTGGTGGCGCCTTCCAATAGCAGAGGAGTAAAGCTTGAGCCCTGTGGTGCTATGCAGGGCTCCTCGGGGAGACAGTGAATGAGCACCCCCTCCGCCCCGGTGAGAAACACTCTCTCCCTCAGTCCCATGGGCTACTAATGAGATTCCCCGAAGAAGAACCTTCAGGGAAAGTAGGACGATTTAGTCCTAGTTAGTATTCTGAGCTCGCAGTTAGATTGTTTGAGGGGGGTGGGGGAAGGGGTCTCTGTCTGTCTGTCTCTCTGTCTCTCTCTCTTTAGTTTCAAGGACTTGTGACTTGAGATAGCTTTTCAGTGGGGTTGTCGGTGGTGTTCCCGAGGATACTTTTTAACTGAAGTGCCGTTCTGGAAGGAACTGTGTGTTGTCTCCCTTCCTGTCCGATAGGGCTACCTCATTTTAGGTTCACAAGGTTTTTCTGTCACTCTCTCTTTACTCTTGTGAATTTTTTCTTGTTAATAGATACAGGATTGGGGTTCTTTTTATTACTTTTTTGAGTTCTTTATAAATTCTAGATCTGATTCCCCTGTCAGCTATACAGCCAACAAAGATTCTGTAGAATCTCCACTCTAATTTGTTCAGAAACTTGTATTTTCTGCAATGCCAGTTGCCAGTTCTTGCTATTATGCCCTGGGCTCCTTGAAGTCCTTCGCTATGCCAATGTAGCTTCAAGGTTTTGCCTGTTTTTCTCTAGCAGATTCGGAGTTTCATTACTTCTTACATTAATGCCTGTGGTCCACTTTGACTTAATTTTTTAATTGTTTTGTACTTATATGCATACAGCAAGTTTATGGTTCTAAGCTATTGATTAAATATTTCCTTTAAAAATAGATTTGTGTTTAAGACAAGTTAAAGAAGAAATTAAGTGTAATGTGTGGGACCCCAGTCAATTTGGAAAATATTGCTGATGTTTGGATATTGCCTAGAAAGTGGATCTGTGGCATCAATTAGAAGTCTAAGGGAGATTTTTTTAATCAAATTATACATCAAACATGTAGTGATTACCAAGCAGATTCTAAATGGCAAAGGCTGTGGAATTAAAGCCTTAGCCCCAAATGAAGTGTGTTTGTCACCAAAGGATATTACCCAAAGTACCAAGTTTCATGAGGAAGAAAAATAATTAGGTCCTCGTCTGCTCTATTGAAACATAAAAACTAAACACTGAGGCAGTAGTCTGCTCTATTGAAACATAAAAACTAAACACTGAGGCAGTAGTATTAAGTCGTTACAGAGAAGTTTTATTTACTTTTGAAATTTAAGTAGTTTAACTACAGGAGACGTTCTCCTTTTGGTGACCACCTTTATGTCCTTGGTCCATGAGTCTTTTCAAAAAGATTCCTAAGTTACTGTCATAGGATGAAATGTTGGGAACTTTGACATATGCTACTGGAAACAAGAGTGAAATGAGCTAGGAGAACACTGGAGTCTGAGGCAGGAGAGTCAGGGATCCAAGGCCAGTCTGGGCTCCATAGTAAGACCCAGTCTCAAAATAAATAAATAATGAATTGAAATCCAGCAAAGGTTAGGTGGATGTTGGTACATTTTGTGAGATAATGTGGTTTAGCATCTTAACATGTCTTTCTAAGCTTTTCCTATGCTTTAGATCTATAAATGCTTGAAAAGCTCTTCATTTATAACGATGCACAGATATTAATAGAAGTTGCCTATGAGAACCTAGATGGTGGAAGATAAGATTAGGTGGGACATTTCATTTTCTTTATATGCTCTGCCTTTTTGTTGTGCTTTCTTAGATAAGTCTCACTATGTGGCACAAACTGGCCTTGACCTCTGTCTTTCTGCTTCAGCCTCCTGAGTGTTGGGATTATAGGTATTCACCAGGCATATACATAGAAGAGAGAGAGAGCTCAGCCCTCTCTATATGTTCTCATATATTTTATACAGTGTTTATTTTTGGTTCTGTGGTTTTTTTTAATATTTTATTTATTTATTATGTACACAGAGGAGGGTGCCAGATCTCATTAAAGATGGTTGTTAGCCACCATGTGGGTACTGAGAATTGAACTCAGGAACTCTGGAAGAGCAGTCAGTGTTCTTAACCTCTGAGCCATCTCTCCAGCCCGGTTCTGTGTTTTAAAATGAAAATTTAACTGAATTTCCTTTCTATATAAAAGATATGTATCTACACATTAGTTTAACTTAAACATATCTTTGACCTTCCAGCTTTCTAGATAAAAGTCTTGCTTTACAGTGGTTCGCAACCTTCCTAATGCTGTGACCCTTTAATGTAGCTTCTCATGTTGTGACCCCCAACCATAATCTCAGTACTCGGGAGGCAGGCGGATCTCTGTCGAGACTAGCCTGGACTACAGAGCAAGATCCAGGAAAGGCGCAAAGCTACACAGAGAAACCCTGTCTCGGAAAAACCAAAAGAAAAAAAAATTATTTTGTTACTACTTCATAACTGTAATTTTGCTACTGCTATGAATCATAATGTAAATACCTGATATCTGAGATGCAACCCCCCCACCCCCTGCCCGCCAAGGGGTTACAACCCACAGGTTGAGAACCACTTGCCTTACATGGTGACTAGTCACAGGGTTCTGTCTGCAACACTAAAATTTGTGGGAAGCTTGAAGTTCTTTCTCTGTTTTTTCTTTTGCTCCTTAGTGTAAAGTTGTAAATCTTTGTGGCTTTTATTTGAAGAATTTGCAGGTGAGTCTCTAATAATGGCATCATCTAGCTTCTCAGTCACTGTTTTTCTCCCTCAGGCACAAAAGTGGCTCTCACTCTAGCACTTGCGCATTGGAGCAATTTAAGGATTTAATATGAAGCACAGAAGCTGATAGTGCCACATAGCAAGCCCGTTGTTTGACATTTGTGAGTAAACTTTTTTCTTTGGCTCCGTTTTCTCAGTCTTTAAGGCCTCTGCATGTCAGTTCCTTAAAAAGCAGACATTTAGGGGGGAAAAAAAGAAGCTAGTTGGCAGTTATAATCCAACTAGGTTTACCACACTAAGCAACCTTCAAGGAGTATGCTTTAAGGCCTGGAGTACGTTTCTGGTTTAAAGCCTTAACCCCTATAATTAAGACATGTATATTGTCTTTAATGTTTTATTGCTCTTGACTTATAATATACTCTGCTGGGAACTTAGTGTAATTTGGCCTCCTTTTCAGGAAACTACTTATGCAACAAAGTTTTAGGCAACCTCAAATGCATTTACTTTTACCCGTCTGTTTTCTTCATGATCTTTTTATATCCTATTGGAATGTGATTAGGGGAGTTTTCTGGTAACCATGCTTCCCCCAATCTGACTTCACATTTCTTTATGTCATGATAGAACTTTCAATTACCCTAGTTGTAAAATCATGAAATTTGCTTTCTCAAATCAAGTCATTTTAAGTAAATAACTACTTTTATTCATAGTTCTTATAAAATGAATTGTTGAAATACTGATTTTTATTCTTTCTTTTTTACAGCTGGAAAAGCAGTGTCCGTGTTGTTATGTACACCTCCAAAACAGTTCAGATCTGTAGGGGAGTTGTTGTGTAAAGTAAACAACCACAGGGTAGCAGTATTAATAGCTATTGTAGACGTGTGTTTGCTCTATTAAAATGAGTAAGAAATCGGGCAGTGACACATCACTAGGAAGGTCAGTGAAATTTTTTTCAGTTGAGCTGGTATTATAGGTTGACAGACAGTAGCTTAAAAGCTGCTTGCCATAAGCTAACCATGCTCTTTTATGCTTTTCTTAGCATTTTTTATTTGGGGGCAACATTCTTTCGACTACATCTCCCTGGAATCATGGATCCCTCTCCAATTTAGAAGGTTACTCAATGCATTTGTACTATTTTCCCCTCAAAGATATTTGATGCTTCCCAAAACTACATGTATAAATATGATATTAAATATAGGTTAATAATGTGAACATTTAAGCCCTTAAAATGAATGCATACATTAAGGGCGTATTGATATGAATCATGTATTTGGCAGTCATTGCATTTCAGTCATCAGATTAGTTTCCAATAAGAAGTTTTTATTTGCACTGTGTGATTTTTGAGGGAGCTATACTCTTTTTGGTAAATTGAGCATTAGCCTTATTTGCCTTTGGATTCTGATTTTCATTGTTGAAGGGATTTATTTCATGCACGATGCCAGTTTCTGATTTCATTGCTATAAAGTCCAGGCAACATTATTCCACATAATTAGGATTATTTTTTTTCTTTGCAGTTTTAAAGATTGAACCAGGGCTTCATGCATGCTAGACAAGCACTCTACCTCCGAGCTATGTTCTTAAAGGCCTTCTGGTTGGGGATTTTTATTTCAGGCATTTTTGAGTTGCATATTTGCTTACATGCATATTTGCTTACACACAGAATGCTTATGTCTGTGCATTTGTATTGTGGTTATATAATACTTTAGAAACTTCACCTAATCAGTGCCCTCTCCAGTTCATTGTCAGATGCTAAGTCAGAGCTTTATGTTGAAGAATGTTCTCTTTGATTATTGTCCTGCTCACGAGTGGGAAGTTGTTTCCTTTGCCCTTTCTACTATACAGTATTGTCTTCTGACATCGCTTCATAGAGGAGATTGACTATCTCAGTCATCCTGATCTTAACCTTTTCTCTCTGTAGGGTGAGTGGGGCAGCATTTCCTTCTCCCACTGCTGCTGAGATGGCAGAAATTAGTCGAATTCAGTATGAAATGGAATACACCGAAGGTATTAGTCAGCGAATGAGGGTCCCGGAAAAATTAAAAGTAGCACCTCCAAATGCTGACCTGGAACAAGGGTTCCAAGAAGGAGTTCCAAATGCCAGTGTGATAATGCAAGTCCCAGAGAGGATCGTTGTTACAGGTATCTCATACTTGATTGAAAGTGTCCCAGTATTTGTTCTTTATTTTTATGAACATTTTAGTTTTTTCAAAATATTATTGAGAAAAAATATTTTCACACATTTTACAAATGTATGTAACCCCCCCCCACACCACAATCCTGATACAGAACATTTTTGTCACCTCAAGAGGCTTCCTGTTCCCATTCTCCATCATTCCCAACCCTTCAGCTCAGCAGCTGTCATCTCCTTTCTGTACCAGTCAGTGGAGTTGTCTTCCTTAGACTCTCCTGTAAATAGAGCCCTACAAGTAGTCTGCTTTGCCTGGCTCCTTTTACTAAGAGTAATTTTCCCTCCTTTTTTTTTTTTTTTTCACCTCAGGGCTTTGAAGCTAGGACCTGATGCACTCTGGGCCAGTGCTGTACCTCTGAGCTCTATGTGCTGCCCTCTTACTGTTTCTCATCCATGAGGCAGGGTTTAAGTGTTCCACGCTGCCCAAGAATTTGCCCTGCAGAGCCCATAGTCCTTATACCTGTCATCCTTCTGCTTCAGCCTTCTGAACTGCTCGGGTTACAGGCCTGCCTGTAACCCAGCTTACTTTTTACTCTGTTTTTATTTGGGGACAGAGATGAGTGCACCCCTGAGACACTCAGGATCTTCCTGCTTTAACTCCTGCGTGCTGGAATTGCAGGCTTGTGCTTGCGTACATGGCTAGTGTAATGCTTTTTTGAGATTCTTCCATATTGTTTCAAGTATTATGTGTTTATTCCACTTAATTGATAAGTAATATCCTGTGTGGGTACATTATCATTGGTTTATCCATTGACATTAAATGGACATTTGTGTTGTTTTCTTTTTGAGATTTATAGGATGAAAATACATAGGAATATTCATGTACAAACTTTTAGGAGTACAAGTACTTTCATATCTCTAGAAGTGAAATGACTATATTATAAGTTATATTTAACTTTTTCAAATGTTGACAAATTTTTTCCAAATGGTATACCGTGTTTCTTTTCAATCAATGATGTTAGTGAATTTTAGTTGCTTTATATCCATTTCCCTAGTGATTGATAATTTGGACGTGTATGTGTGTGTTTTTGACTTATTTACTTCTTATATTAGTTACTTTTCTATTGCTGTGATAAACACCATGACCAAGACAATTTATAGAAGGAAGGGTTTATTTAAGTTTATGGTTCCAGAGGGATAAAAGTCCATCACTGTCATTGGGGGAGGCGTGGTAGTGGACAGGTGTGGTGGCTGGAGCAGCAGGCTGAGAGCTTACATCTTGAACTGCGAGCCCAAAGCAGAGAGAGAAATGGGAATGGAGTAAGGCTTTTTATCTCAGAGCTCCCATGCCATACTTCCATCACCAAGGCCCTGCCTCCTAAACCTCCCCAAATAGTGCCATCAACTGGTGAACAAGCACTCAAATATGACCAAGATTATAGGGACATTTGTCATTCAGACCAACATTTTGAAGCATGTATTCAAATGTTTTGTAATACAAATCTGACAGAGGGTAAAAACATTTAACAAACACCACTGTGAAATTTCTTCACCCCCCTTTTCTTCCCCTAGGAAATAATGAAGACATTTCCTTTTCAAGACCAGCAGATCTTGACCTTATCCAGTCCACTCCCTTTAAACCTCTGGCACTGAAAACACCACCACGTGTGCTCACACTAAGTGAGAGACCACTAGATTTTCTGGATTTAGAAAGACCACCTCCAACTCCTCAAAATGAAGAAGTAAGTAGAGTTACCACCCTTTATATTTGAAAGAATATAGGATAAAGTTAAAGAAGAGTTAAGCCATGAAGCATGTGTTAGCCTTATATAATGGAAGCTTTCTTTCATATGGCAATATTGGGATCAGTTGATTTTACAATTCTCTAAGTAAGGTATTACAAGTTTGTTTTTGTTTTCTAACTTAACAGTTATGTGGTAGGGAAGTAAAAATCTTAGAGAGCAAGTATGGCTACCATTTATGTAGACTTAAAAGAAGAATAGCTGTAACTGTTAATACCTACAATGATGCAGACAGTTTCCAAGTTTGTTTTTGTTCTACGCAGTCCTAGAGATTGAACCAGCATTTGGAAGTGCTAGGCAAATGCTTCATCACTCTGTTCCTAGGAAAGGAAGCTTTGCACTAGGAAATAATGACTATGCCGTTTTGTTATAGAATCATCTAGCAAACAAACTAAGAAAGCCTTTCTCCTGACACTACTCATTCCTGCAGCTTGATGAGAGGTTCCCACCGAGTTAGTGGCATTGATATCCCTATTGACATAAAGTTGGTGGAAAAATAGACTTAAAGGTGTTAACAGTAGAATTAAAGTCTTGCCAGGGCTATTGACTTAAGACCAATATTGAAGGTTTTATTCTTAAAGACAATATACAGACATACATTTTTATTAAAACTGGTACTCCTCTGTCAACTTTGATTTTTCCATGTAGTCCTTCCCAAAGAGGGTTATGTATTCATGTAAACCAGATTGGTGTAATTCCTAGTACTAGTCTTGCTGTTTCTTTAGGTTTAGTTTCTACTTAGGTAATTTAGGTCATATGTTCATAGGCGCCAGTATGAACATCTTGCATGTTTACTTAGTGAAAAGCACTACAATTTGTTAATTGTGGCCAAAAATTGTCAAGTTACTTTTAAATTTTATTTATTTTGGCAACCATTTTTTGAGATTTTATGTATGAAACACTGCCCTCTGTAAGTTTTCCATCTGCATACTCTCAGCAGGACAGTAGGATGAGGTAAGGAGATGACATGAGTATATACAGAGCTTGTAAAGCTCTTCAGTATCAGGAGGAAATCAGTGGACTCTTGATATGCGTGCTGGCTAATTTTATATCAACTGGACACAGGCTAGACTCATCTGATAGCAGGGAACCCCAACTGAGAAAAAAAAAAAAACGCCTTCTTAACCTGTATAAGATTGGGCTGTAGGCAAATCCATAGGACATTTTCTTAATTAGTTATTGATGGGGGGAGGGGCAGCCCATTGTGGGTGGTACCACTGTGGGCTGGTGGTCCTGAGTTCAATAAGAAACTAGGCTGAGCAAGCCATGAGGAGCAAGCTAGTAAGAAGCACCCCTTCATGACCTCTGCATCAGCTCCCGCCTCCAGGTTCCTGCCCTGCTTGAGTTCCTGTCCTGACTTCCTTTAATGATAAACTGTGATGTGGAAGCATAAGCTGAATAATCCCTTTCCTCCCCAACTTGCTTTTGGTCATAGTATTTCATCATAGCAATAGTAACCCTCAGACAATATGTCTGTCTAATGTTTGCCCATATTTGGGAGGCTCCTCTAGACAAAATATTTCTTGGTAATCCTGCCAACCGGAATTAGTAAAGAGCTGTGCAATAAGCCATGTGAACAGGGCCTAAAACTTGAGTGCTTGAATCACGGCCATTCTCAATGTTCTTAGAGTAGATCTGGCTGTGTGATGAGGGAGGCAGAGGCTTTCCCAACAACACTACCTCTCAAAAAGGAACTTCCCTAGACAGCTAGGGCTGGTGTGAGATCTTTCAGAGGACATGGAAAGAGGTCTGTGAAGAAGAGTTAGAAATTATGCCTGTGCAATTGGTACCTCAAAGAGTGTGTTTAAGCTAGAGATTGGAACCCACCATCATGTCCTGTCTGTGAAGCAGTAGTATGGAAAGGTTAGCAATAACTTCCAAAGGCTCTTTGAAAAGTTCACTCCAGTACGAAGTGTCAGGTGATTTGGAAGAAGAAAAGTCAGTAGGCCTGTGTAAACTAGGACTCAGTTTTGGAAGACAAGAAAAAAATGTTTTCAGAAAGGGAACTTTTGTTCAAACCAACAGGCTTAAGCCGAAGCTGTCAGGTGGCATCTACAGGTGCCAAATCCTACATCAGTCTTGTACAGATGTACAGCCAGAGCTCAGGGACTAAGAGAAAGTATGTCCAGCTAAACCAGCCTTATCATAGGTCACATTAGTGGTCCTGGAGGCTGAAGATTACACAGAAAGCCATGGATATCTGTCAGAAAGTTAACCTAGCAAGCAGTCATTCAAGGCAACAGGTGGTTATCAGTACCCTAGGTGCAGTGTATTGGTGACCCAATGTAATTGATAAAACCACTGTGAGAATAAAAAGCAGAAGACCATAGGTGACCTAAAGTATAACAAGCCACTCTAGTATGCCCTGAATTCATTGATGATGAAGACTCCCAGGTACTCAGTGAATACTCCAGTATGTCCTGCAATAGCTAAAAAAAAAAAAAAAAATCAGAAAACTCATGCATATGAGTCTCATCACAATCCAGTGGCAATTTGTTTACTCTCTTTTCTTCCCCCTTATCCATGGAAAGAGAAGCTGAGAGTATAGGAGCAGAAAAAGCAACATTTTAAAATGAGAACAGTTTTGTGGTTTTATATTGTGCACATACACCCATGGATGATTCATTAATGTGTGTTCATTTTCTTTGTTTAGTTAGTTACCATATTGCACCCTTGTCTTAGAGTTTCTCTTGCTGTGATAAACCGCCATGACCAAAAATAAGCACTGGAGAGATAGTTCAGTGGTTAAGAGCACTGCTTGCTCTTCCAGAGGTCCTGAGTTCAATTCCCAGCAACCACATGGTGGCTCACAGCCATCCGTAATGAGTTCTGTTGCTCTCTTCTGGTCTGCAGGCATACATGCAGACAGAACACAGTATACATAATAAAAAAATAAATCTTAAAAAAAAAACAACAACAACTTGGGGAGTAAAGGGATTGTTTCATTCACAATTTCATGTAATAGTCCACTGTTGAAGAAATAAAGTCAGGACTTGACAGGAACTAATATAAAGGCCATGGAGGAGTGCTGATTACAGGCTTGCTCTCCAAAGCTCATTTGGACTATTTTCTTGTAGCACCCAGGACCATCAGCCCAGGGTTGGTACCACCCACAGTGACCATCGGTCAAGAAAATGAAGCACCAGCTTGCCCCCAGGCCAGTGGCAGGGGGTTTGTCAGTTAAGGTTCCCTCTTCCAAAATAGCTCTAACATGTGTCAGGTTGGCATCACACCAGGCAGCATGTCCTTCTCAGAGAAGTGCTTGCTGTGTATGCGTGAGAAGCTGGGCTGGAGCCAAAAGGAGCCACATGGAAAGCTGGGTACACTAGTACGTATCTGAGTAGTCCTGGTCCTGAGAAGCTGAAGACAGAAGGATCCTGGAGGATTGCTAGCTGGCTAGACTAGCTGAATCAGTAAGTGCTAGGTTCATTGAGAGACCGTGTCTGAAAAAATAAGGTGGAAAGTGGTTGAGGAAGATACCTGACATCAACCTCTGGCCTCCATACACATGTGCACACATGCACACATGCGCACACACAACAGAGGGAGAGGGGAAAAAAAGAAGATTTAAGACCAAGTCTTACCTGTCTGTAATGCACAGGTTTTGCTTCTTGGTTTGCTTTTCTCAGCTCCTTGTAGTTTTGTGAGTACCCTTGGACAAAGTTTTCTATGTTTTTTAATGCTAAATAGCTTCTAAGCTACCAAGAATATTCTGTTCCTTCCCTTTTTGTGTGCCTTAACAGATCCGAGCAGTTGGCAGGCTAAAAAGAGAGCGTTCTATGAGTGAAAATGCAGTTCGCCAGAATGGACAGTTGGTCAGAAACGATTCCATGTGAGTAGAATCACAGCATTGTATCTTTTTTTGGTAGGAAAAAAATCATTGTAGATTTTCTTCTGTATTTTGTGTGTACATACCTTTTTCTAAATAATTCTCATAGTTTCTAAAATCTGTTTTACATCAGTGGTTATCACTTTGTACTTGTACTTTTTGTAGTCTGACAATCTGACAATTTTGTCTGTTGTGACAAATTTTCAGCCCTGGTTTTCTCTTCTGTGTGTCTGTCACTTTTATGGAAAGTGAATATTCTTTCTCCTTCACCTTTTGGTCAGTTTTCATGAACTCATCAGGAACCCTTTGTGATGTCAAGCATCATGTTGGCTTCTCTGGAAACTTAGCCAGCATCAGGCGATGACACATCCTTTGAGAGCTTACAAACTAGCCAGAGCACAGTCCCATTACCGCTCTTACAGTGCACCGTACTGAGTTGTAGTTTAGACCTGGCTGCAGAGTACAGTGGTGCAGAATGGGCTCTTTGCAGGGCAGGGGCTTAGTATTCAGAGTTGAAAGAAGACTATTTTTGCCTTTGCTTTAAAAGAAGTCTTTGGAACAAATTCACTGGCATCTCTAACCAGTCAGTGAAGTTGTATCTCAAATGTAAGTTTTTGTTTGCTTTGTTGAAATTCTGTTCTCTATGTTGGGTGCAAGGGAAAACTGAGTTCTTCAATTGCTAGAGAGTCTCTCACGGCAGTTGCAGCTATCCTGAAGGATCACATAGGAAGAAGTTGGGTTCAAATGAATATATGTCTCCTTTATGAAAGACTGTCTGAAAGACTCAACATTATTAATAAGATTTTAAAGAATGAATCAGTGTCTGTTTTCCTGAGGTGTCTGGTTGGCAGATGTCAACATACCCATGAAACCCATTTTTCTAAAATTGTTTCCAAATATACACATAGTAAAAAGACTCCACATGTATTCTTATGGCTAATGTGGGGAAAAAAAAAAAAAGCACTAATTCAGTTATTTCCTACTTGTAATGTGTAGTTTGAAAGGCAGTAGAATTTTCTAATAGGCTTTCCTACTATTTAAGTTGTGACTTGCTGTTTAAGCCCTTAATTGACTTTTTTTAATCTTAAAATTAAAACATGATTACTTCAGTATTGTATCACCTTTTCACAAAGTATAGTATTGATGGCTAAGTTTAGTTGAAGATAAAGGAAAAAGCTCTCCCTGTAAGTTCCTCGTAGCACAAAGGTTAAGAGCTAACAGATTCTTGATTTTCTTTAAATTGCCTTCATGGCATTTCCTATATATCTAGTAAAAACAAAGATCTTGATATTAATAAAAGTTTGCCCATTGTTAATTTTACAATTTACAGCTGAATTCCTATTTAAAGCTCTCTTATGTCTGGTTAAACTTAGGGATTTGTAAAATGTGCATAAAATGGGCATTGTTCATTTGGTAAACAAGAAACTATCCATTCATAGTTTACATCCGCTCCAGTAATTGTTGAACTCCCCCTCCTTTAGACTGTTTTTTTTTTACATTAATTAATTAATTAATTAATTAATTAATTCATGAACGTTTGTCTGCCTCCGCTCTCGTTTATTCTGTAGCTCATGAAGAGAAGTGCAGATGAGCAGGGACTTTGTTTCCTCAATACCTTTTAAGATGCAGTGACGTTGATTGTTGTCACAAAAATGAATTGTGACAGTAGAATCGTAGTAGAATCATTTTCTTTGTTATAAAAACTGAATATGTAAAAGAAGCATAATTATTATTTAAGGTGGCACAGATCAGATTCTGCCCCAAGAAATAAAATTTCAAGGTTCCAGGCATCGATTTCTGCACCGGAGTACACGTAAGATTTTATCTGCTCTATTTTTCCCAAGTAGAGGTTGCTTTAATTTTACAGGCTTATGTTATTACTAATCTGTTTTACCATGTAACTGACATATAATACCCTAACTCTGTTCTAGTACTTCTCCTTCAGGATTTCTCAAACTGTCACTATATATTTTATTAAGTGGGGCTGAGGGGCAAATCTAAGGAAGTTTCATATGGTTTGGTATATAGATGAAAGGAAAATGAAATAATTTCTGTACATAAAGAGAAAATCCTTTTTTGTTTTCTGGATTTTGCTTTGGTTGGCCTGTGAGTTCTCTGCAGATTACACTTAGCAAGGTTCAGCAATCCCAGTCATGTTTTTACACTTCAGCATCTTTCCTTGCTTTATTTTAGTCCAGAGGAAAACGAAGTCTTACATGTGGTTTGTCATTAAAATTGTTTTTGTTTGTTTGTTTGTTTTATTTTTATTTCGTTTCCCTGTAGAAAATTCTGTTTGGAGCAATCTTTTGAGATCTAAGTCCTTGTTTTCTCTAACTATGACAAACAGTGTATAAGAATGACTGCCCGCTTCTGACGGTGGGACATTTTGATATGAAATGTAAAAATTCAAGCAGCATGTGCAAGGCCTGCACATACACATGCATGTGCAAATAAACAGTCAGTGGTGTTCCCAAATAGCAGAGGAAACCACACTGATAGCCAACGACTGTGGTTCCTTGCTGTGCTTCTGAAAGTTACTAAATTGCCTTAGTCATAGTAGCAGCAAATTACAGTTCTATTTAGGGTCCCAGAGAGCCCAGGTATAGTGCCACACACATTTAATCCCAGCAGAGAAAGGTGGAGCTCTGAATTCAAGGCCAGCCTGATAAACATAAGCTAGTATCTATGCTGAGACATTGTCTCAGGAAAAATAAAAATAAAAATAAATGTCCCAGAGAAATTAACAGAGTTTGTGTTTCAATGAAAACATTTTTCTTTCTACTTTTTCAAAGAGGCTAATTCTTCAACATTAACCTCACAGTTTGAGAAACATTCTTATGAAAACCTGTGGAGAGAGCTCTTCTACTTTGAACTTTCCTCTTAATGAGTTGTGCCAAGTCACTGATTTTCATTTAGTTCTGATACTGACTAGCCATTGTTTACTTAACCCTTATGTGTAAGAGTCTGTGAGCATGAGGTAGAGTTGTTACTAATGAAATAACAGGGTAAGCATGAGTACTTCTTCCGAAGTTTAAAACTTATTTAAAATACTAAACCTGAGATTTTGCTGTTTTATAATGTAGTAGCAGTTTATTATCAAAGTGCATTTTTTAAAATTATGTATAAGGCAGTATTTGTTTAAATACCTGATCTCAGTGCCTTGCATTATGTTTGGATTTTTTAATAATAGCTTACTTGTCAAAATTAAACAATAAAAAACAAAAAAGTAACTAAACCTTGGTTAAGTAGTGAGTGGACAGAGGTGAAAACTGAACTCCAAAAATCACTCTATCCCTCCACAGTTGATTCCACTAGAGGATGTTATAACTTGTGTTAGAGTGGTAAAATTATTTTTCTTTGTTGTTATTATTGTTGTTTTCAGTGAAATTTATTGGTTAGAATGCATACAAGAGTACCTAAAGTCACTAAATTATTTTCCTAATTCCTAATAAAATTGCTAAATTCTTGTTTCTAATTAAGATAATTTTCTCACCTTACAATATAATTAATCAGCTTAAAAGTAACCCTTCCTATTCTGTTTTTGCTGTGTCTAGTGGACCACTTTGTAAATGAATGAAAAGTTATATTTCTTACCAATTTTGTAAACTTTAATTCTTCTTTGAGGAACAGCCAGGGGAAAAAATGTTTTTTTTGTTGTTGTTAGTCAAATATCTTTAATGGTTTTGTATCATCTTCATGTTGTGACCTGGGGAATGTAGCTCAGTAGAGGACGGACTTGCTTGGCATGTGTAGGTCCCTGGGTTTTATTCCAGGCACTGGGGGAAATACTTCTTTTTTAAATCCTGTTTTGTTTTGCAGGACGTAATTTCATTCTTTATTGTTCCACATAAGTATTTCTATTAAATTAGTTAAATATCAGAAAAGTTTTCTCTTGTTTATGGCCATATCACATTTCATATGATCCTAAAATCTTAGAATTAGAAGAGATATGTAGATTTTTTTATTTTAAATTTATTTTTATTTATTGATTTTCTGATATGCATTATAATTAATCATTAGGAATAGAGTGAGGACCTGTAGATTATTTAGACTCTAACCTTCTATTCATTCTATCTTGAGAATTTTTGCCACTAATCTGAAGTTAGTTTATGCTTGACTGCTTTATAAGATGACCACCTCATTTTCTGTGTATGTACTTTGAGATTTCTTTTTCTCCTTCTTTCATTTCTTGCTTTTTCTTTCCCTCCTTCCTTCCCTTCTTCCCACCTGCTCACCTCAGGCATGCTAAGTAAGTACTCCATCGGTGAATTATAATTATGTTCTCAGCCTGCTTTTCGAATTTAAGTAGTAAATAACTTTATTTTTTTACATTTTAATGGAGAAAATCCATTAATATTTATTATGAATTTGGAAACCCTCCATTGACATATTTGCTTTAAGATTATAATTCAAAATACTAAAAATGACGCTCATTCTACAGTGAGTTACTTGTTAATAGAGTATACAGAAAAACTCATTGTGAACCCTAAAGTCAAAGAAACTGCTAATTTAAAACTTGCCTGATGACATTTAGCCAGTTTTGCTGCCAGCTTTATCAAACAGTGTACTTTTTGCAAACCTGTAACTCAGTGGAGGTGGTGCACATTAGGATTTCCTTCTTCCTCTATTGTAATATCGGTCTGTCTTTCCATCTCAGTAGCTTACCTGTCAGTGTGTTTCAGCCTCCAGGGGGAAGGGTGACTCGGGTAGGAGTTTCTCCACTGTGAGCATTAACCCCACGCCCTCACCCCACTCTCGAATATCTCCATGATGCAGTGAATAGTGACACAGAATTTAAGTTTCCAGTTCCGTCCCTGGTGACAACTGTAAACTTGAGCTCAGCCTGGCTTCTTGCACACAGGCGCTTCAGGTCTTCCTTGCTCTGTCTAAAGGATGCTTATTTGCAAGCCACACATAGGCTGCACTCCAGCCACTCTAGGAGTTTTGTTTGTTTGCTTCTCTCTTTCTTTCTTTCTTTCTTTCTTTCTTTCTTTCTTTCTTTCTTTCTTTCTTTCTTTCTTTCTTTCTTTCTTTCTTTCTTTCTTTCTTTCTTTCTTTC